GGGATATCAGAAACCGTACCGATAATTCCTAATTTAGAGAGAATTGGAGTGGCATTCAAACTTAGGAAGTCACACAAAAGGATACTTTATCGACATATAGATCCCACTGACCCAATTAGGTCAAGTTAATTTAACTCCTGAATATTACTATTATGATCGTGGCATCCCATCTATTGGTCAGACGAGATGATCGATGTCATTTAGATTGACAGAGAATAAAAAAATCTAGAATGATTGGACTTAGTAATGTGAGTAATTGAGAAGAAGCTTGACTACTGCAATGCATGTGGTGCTACACAGGCACACAATAGGGTAGGATAGGCCAACAGTCCAAAAAAAGAAGCAATTTAGGTAAAGAGTGATAATAATTAGGGAATCTATTTCCAACTAGTCAGCAGTCAGTGCACGCAAGGGTGCAACACTGATTTCAGACGTATGGAAACTCCTATTATTACTGAGAAATGGGAAACGCAAATGAATGAAGTTTGGAAAATGAATATCAGAAGTTGTATGATTACTTCTTATGATAATGAGAAATGAACTGTACATGAATTTTCATCAAGTGAATAATACTGTTTTTTCTACGTCATCACTGAAAACATTATTTCAAACATTAACCTAAACCTTCCACTATCATGGCAATTATTTTTTGATCCCCTTTATATTTCCTAGAATTTATGCTTGAATATTCTTCAGAAAGTAAAAATAACTTTATTTTAAACATAGCTTGGGCGACAAGTCTTCGCTGAATCATCAGTTTGCCTCAGCCCTGACGCCAAGAACATATGAAAAGTAAGACTCCTTTCGATCAGTGATGCGTTATTATATGATCTAAAACTGTTTCATCATGTGCGCATACAGGTGTTGGTGGCATGAGAATAAAGCTGCTTATAATTGAAATAGATATGCGAATGTCTATCGTTCTACGAAAATCCCTCATTAGTTAAAAAAAATGGAGGCATCGTATACAATTGATTAAGACACTTCTCTAAACACTTCATATCTCTTATCTACACAGTGTTGTGTAACTTGCAACAATTACAAACATTTCGTTTGTCACTTTCAGTTGCTTCCGAATAATCCAAAGTAAGCCGCTGTGACAAAGGAATCTAAAAATAAGAATAAGGATTCCATTCCCTCAACGTCTTCTCCAGAAACCATCAAAATAATCCCACCCACATCTTCAGAATCTTTTAAGATGGAATCACGAATATTCACCAGCAACAAAAAGAAGAGCTACATGAATTACAACACCGAACACTCATGTATGTGCAGGCTTTCGAGACAGAATATCGAAAGACGACTGTGTCAGCATACTTCGCCATCCTGCTTGTGAATGATATAAGAAAGGTAGACTGCTTTCTATGAATACATCAGCTGTTCGGCAAAAATGAACACCACCAACCACAAATAAGGAAATAATTCAAGCACTGCGTCACACAGAGGTAATAACAGTGAAGGGAGTGAAGGATAACGAAATTGAAGAGACTAAGAGGTTGTAACAACTTGTCCTATCTAGTCACTCGCTACATATTCAAGAATCATCACTACCTCATCATAATTTATGAATATTTGACATTGAGGAAATCAACTTCAGTGAAGATACTCACATTCCGTACTTAGTTTCATCATCAGTTATGCAGATAGACCAAGTACAGATGAAGTACAGACAGAAGGACATGCATTGAGCAAGCCGTCATATATCCATCACATCTTACCTAAACAAACCAACATATTGGAAACTCGACGCACTCTGATCATCCTGAATGAAAACATCCATCGTCATCCAATAACCACTTCTAATGTCTTTTTTTTCTTAATTTAAGGATATGTTTGTGACACTGTGCATACACTCTATTGACGCAAAACACCTGGTTTCTCACTGGTCTCACTGTCCACTTCACAGATCAACTACAGTCATTCGTTGTTTGGTCGAAACATTCCAATGTTCATTCATCTACTTTGACATGCCACACTTTGGAAGTGAGGCTTTTATCTCGTCGAAGAGGATTGCACACAAAAACAATAGTCACCACCTACAGTATGTCTGTTAGATCTCGTGAGTAGATCTCGTGACAGTAATACACACCAAACCCAGTGTCAATCATTTTGTCAACTCAGCGAATATCAGACTATGTAGGAAAAAGTGAGTCACGGAATACGACTCACATACACCTAACCTCCATATACATCCAAGCTGCTAATATTCCTCCAACTGATGTCACTCCATGATGAATACCAACCTGAAATCAAAAGATAAATCCACTCGAGCGTCATTCGAGAGGTGATTTCCGAAGTTGTAATGAGAAGTCGTGACCGGTGGGGCCAACCATATCGTGAATAAGAAAACAGTTACTCAACGACAGCATTGAGTGGAGATCGTGCTGTCTCGCGAACTGATATAAGTAGGAAATATGGACTGTTGGATTCCAACCAAGTGACTTGATGGTAATGTGGTGTCCTTGAGACCCTAGGATCTTGAGTTTGACAACTGACAGGGTCATGGTGTGTGCGTAGCTAGTGAGTTCCATACTAGTATGAAACAGCTGTCCAGTTCCTCCAGATTTCCAGTGTTTTTCCAAATGATGTTAGTCCATGATGAATAGCAACCTGAAATAATCGAATAAATCTCAACACTCGAAATCGAAATAAATATAACTTTTGACGCGAAATATAAACTACTCGTTAGTAGGCCATAGTTTCCTGTAACAAAAGTTGCTGTCATTTGTTTCAAATTGACATCAAATGTTATTCCGAATAGATTGCTGTTGAACTGTCGATAAATGAAAAAGTTGTTTGCACGTTACCTGGTGTCTAGTCTCCTATTTAGTAGTCACTGGCCATATGATATACGAAATACTTCTACTGACAAGAAAAAGTATCCGATGGTTCATCAATCGTTAAGATTTATATATTAGCAAGATTTTGGGATGTAAGCGTCACTATTGGAGAGTATAGAAATTGCAATTCTGGTGAAGTGCTTTAATAGCACATTGAATAGAATTTCAGTCCAATATTTCTTAGATTCACTAATCATATCAAGGTTACATACATATACAGTAACCTCTGAATTTTCTTATTTCCTTTTTTAGCTTCATCTCAGTTAAAGTGATATTTAAATGAATACTATTCATATTTTCTACTTCTACTACAATGTTATGCTTGTAAAAGTGCATTGAATATTATTTTTAACAGTAAAAAATGGGGACTGCTTCCAATGAAATATACCGTAAATGGTTTTTTAAAGTTACGAAGTGTTTTGTTATAAATGTCAGTTACGATTAGCATTTCATGAATTGATTCTTCTGAAATATCGTTTAATAAGTCAGAGACTAATCTGATGCAGTTTGTTTCGTGCTGGCTGGTATTTGGATTCACAATGAGTGGTCTGTCCTACTTGCCACTTGTCAAGTGAAGTTGAGTTCATCAATAGGGTGGTGTTTCAGCAGAGACTCGAACACTGCATTCTTCCTGCCAAACACCAAACCATTATCAACAGAAAACTAAAATTATCATTACATGAATGCATGGGGGATAGCAACAAGTTCCTCTTTCTCCCTCGTGTTCAAGAGTGAATGACTGCTTGAATGTTGGTAACGTTCAAGCAACGAGAGAATTAGTCGCCTTTTCCCTTTTATGATATCTGAACAAATCCACATATAGTACACAAAAGTAATCCTATCAATTTGGGCGTTTGTGAAGATTTGAGGACTTTTCAAGTTGATATTCATCATAGAGTGACATCAGTTGGAGGAACAAGGGAAACCTGAGAGCATTGGACAGCTGTTTCGTTCTAGTACGGGACTCCTCATCAGTGCGCACATATGACACCGCCAGTGCTAAAGATGCGTTAAATTGTTAGACACTGATATTCTTTGGGATAACCCGTTGGACATATGTTTGTCTGTAATCGAAAAGTTCTGTTCAGCATAGGTAAGAACATAACAACACTTGTCGACATTTATAAACTGGTAGTGGGCTGTACAGGGTTGTCAAATTTCTTCATTCATCTTTAAATTTCCTACTGATGACATTCTATTGACTTGGCTGGGAGAAGTGTGGATTGGTGACATTGAAAGAACAACTTTTACCATTATTATGCAGAGTTTAAAATGTGTTCCCCATGTTGGCATTAGTCTGCTTACTCTTCGCGTTAGACTCCAATTGTCTCTCTACGGCTGCCCACTTTAGTAATCCTTTGATCAGGTGCATTTTGTTTCAATGTGGTGGGAAATTGAGACCGTAAATACCCGATTCATATGAGTGGTCTTTTAGGCAGTCGATTCTGATGGCATGAGGACTGCTTGCAAGAAGGGGAAAAAGAGACAATTTTTTTCCCTCATAGAATGGAAGATAGTTATGCTGCGTCAGTATTTATTGATGGACCACCATTCCTTGGAATAAATTCAGAGGATTACTAGACAAAGTTCAAGATTGAAACATATGATAGTTATACTAAGTCTTAATGTTTCTTCCACTTCTGAGTGGTAAGACGTAAATTACGAAGACTTTATTAGTATGTTTCATTTGCTTACTCCTCTGTGTTTATTGAATTCATAAATTTTTATTTCCCTTATCCTTTTGTGTTTTCATAATTAACTTACATATTTTGTGTCGTTCATTTCTGGTGCGATTCAAGTACTAAGGCAGGAGAAGATGAGCAAATAGTTGGTAATATATCACAAAAACGTGTTTTATCCAGAGATTACACACCTTGCTTGCCGATGATTACTGATAAAGATGAAATCAAACTTCACAGCTTGTTATCTGTCATCTGCAACCATCCAACAGTATTGAATTTGCTCAGTTAGTAAGTCAGTTAAAGTGAGGAGTTTAGGAATTCCTTCTAACATTTATAAATCAATGCCTTTTGCATTTTGTTTCATTTAGTGGGAAAGAAGACGATTTCATTTACTAGAATGAGAAAAAGTGTGAAAATTTTTTCCACGGAAAAAGCAAATCACTTGAAGTAGAGCTTTATTTCATTGACAAATATCAAGATTCATCAGGAGTTCATACTGGTCAAGCAGCTAGTTACAGTCACAATATTTTGAACAGGTAGGTATTTTCATTCATATTCTTTTCTCATCCTTCTTATTAATGAAATTAGAACCTTCAGGTGTAGAGGTTAGTCAACTACGATTCGAACAAATGCACCGTTTAGTCGGTGTTACGTTTATTATTAGCAACATAGAATACTAAATTGACACCAGACAACAAAATCTCTTATGAGAACCCGAGATCGTTGTTATAAGACGAGTCATTAGTGATATTCGAAATATTTTTCTACAGAAATGTTTTTAAATTTATCTAAAATCAAACGTCTTTTAACCCGAAACAGTCGTTTCATTAGTTTCACGTTGTTATTCATCGTAGACTGATATCAGTTGGAGGAACAAAGAGAACCTGGGAGCACTGGACAGCCGTTTCACCCTAGTACGGGACTCCTCAGCAGTGCGCACTCACGACCTCACACCACCAGGGATCGAACCCGCAACCTTCAGGTTCCGTGGATAGCACGCTACCATTAAGCCACTGGGTCGAAACCCAGTGGTCCATATTTCCAACTTCTGTTAGCTCATGACAATAAATGCTAACGCAGCATAACTATCTTCCATTCTATGAGGGAAAAAAATTGTCTCTTTTTCCCCTTCTTGCAAGCAGTCCTCATGCCATCAGAATCGACTGCCTAAAAGACCACTCATATGAATCGGGTATTTACGGTCTCAATTTCCCACCACATTGAAACAAAATGCACCTGATCAAAGGATTACTAAAGTGGGCAGCCGTAGAGAGACAATTGGAGTCTAACGCGAAGAGTAAGCAGACTAATGCCAACATGGGGAACACATTTTAAACTCTGCATAATAATGGTAAAAGTTGTTCTTTCAATGTCACCAATCCACACTTCTCCCAGCCAAGTCAATAGAATGTCATCAGTAGGAAATTTAAAGATGAATGAAGAAATTTGACAACCCTGTACAGCCCACTACCAGTTTATAAATGTCGACAAGTGTTGTTATGTTCTTACCTATGCTGAACAGAACTTTTCGATTACAGACAAACATATGTCCAACGGGTTATCCCAAAGAATATCAGTGTCTAACAATTTAACGCATCTTTAGCACTGGCGGTGTCATATGTGCGCACTGATGAGGAGTCCCGTACTAGAACGAAACAGCTGTCCAATGCTCTCAGGTTTCCCTTGTTCCTCCAACTGATGTCACTCTATGATGAATATCAACCTGAAACATTTCCATATCTCCACAACTTCTACAAAATTCATTTCATTAGTTGTTCAAAACAGCAGGTGTCACGATCATCATTAAATTATTGTAAGATGATTGAAAGCTGCCTTTTTCTCTTCAGAGGAAGTACTAAAGCTTATCAATTGCCGAATTAACATTGTTATCTGACAGGCGAAATTCGTTTTAAACAATGAATGGAAACTGAAATACAACTAACACCTAATAATTATCATATCAAATCCATTTTCATGTAAAATGATAACATGTTTACATGCTTGATTTTGCGACATCTTGGCCTCATACAGTTTCAGTTTTCCAAAACTTCTTACATTTGTAACTGTTGTTAACCTCACATTGAAACTAACTACAGAAGACATCGACTCTAACTATGGTAATAGTAGACAAGGATTGTTAATGGTGCAAACTTTGTAGAGTTGTCAAGTTTATGATGGATACAACTATCTAACTAATTTTCTGGACATCAGCTAGAATATTGATATGCATTGGAATAAGATTCTATAGAAAAGGCAAAATGATGTTATTTACCTCCTTTAAAATACACCCATATATCTTCTCTGATGAATTTGTGAAGCACTTTAGCTTGTACTATCCATCAAATCGCTACATGTTACTTCCTCCCATTTAATCACTGACCTGTATGATCCCTTTATCACTGATCTATGAGCGACTAAAGTTTTAGTCTCTACAAAATTGAAAATAATTTAGTTTTCTAGTCATATTGTAACATATGCGTGTTCTTCTTTAAGTCTACCACTTTGTTATGTGTTTGGCTGACATATCGGTGAATTTCTCAACGATCTTCCTTCGGAAGCTGAGTTGTACTCTCACTCAATCCAGTTGGGCTAGAAATGTGTATGAGGACTATCTTGTAGTGAATTTATTGATGTGATACTTAGCGTTGCATCTTATTCAGTGCCATGAAAAGTGTTAGAGTATGAAGGCCTTCTTGATTGTTTTACTATGTTGTCCTACAGATCTATATTTTTATTTAGATTGAGGTGTGATATAGATTTTCGTCGTACTACGCAGTGAAAGCAACCCCATGTAATGTTTGCATCATGAAATCTACAAACTTAAACCTGTTATACTTTGGGATATTTCCATTTCGTTATACGTCACAAAATTTGAAATTGATTTCAGGTTGCTATTCATCATGGACTAACATCATTTGGAAAAACACTGGAAATCTGGAGGAACTGGACAGCTGTTTCATACTAGTATGGAACTCACTAGCTACGCACACACCATGACCCTGTCAGTTGTCAAACTCAAGATCCTAGGGTCTCAAGGACACCACATTACCATCAAGTCACTTGGTTGGAATCCAACAGTCCATATTTCCTACTTATATCAGTTCGCGAGACAGCACGATCTCCACTCAATGCTGTCGTTGAGTAACTGTTTTCTTATTCACGATATGGTTGGCCCCACCGGTCACGACTTCTCATTACAACTTCGGAAATCACCTCTCGAATGACGCTCGAGTGGATTTATCTTTTGATTTCAGGTTGGTATTCATCATGGAGTGACATCAGTTGGAGGAATATTAGCAGCTTGGATGTATATGGAGGTTAGGTGTATGTGAGTCGTATTCCGTGACTCACTTTTTCCTACATAGTCTGATATTCGCTGAGTTGACAAAATGATTGACACTGGGTTTGGTGTGTATTACTGTCACGAGATCTACTCACGAGATCTAACAGACATACTGTAGGTGGTGACTATTGTTTTTGTGTGCAATCCTCTTCGACGAGATAAAAGCCTCACTTCCAAAGTGTGGCATGTCAAAGTAGATGAATGAACATTGGAATGTTTCGACCAAACAACGAATGACTGTAGTTGATCTGTGAAGTGGACAGTGAGACCAGTGAGAAACCAGGTGTTTTGCGTCAATAGAGTGTATGCACAGTGTCACAAACATATCCTTAAATTAAGAAAAAAAAGACATTAGAAGTGGTTATTGGATGACGATGGATGTTTTCATTCAGGATGATCAGAGTGCGTCGAGTTTCCAATATGTTGGTTTGTTTAGGTAAGATGTGATGGATATATGACGGCTTGCTCAATGCATGTCCTTCTGTCTGTACTTCATCTGTACTTGGTCTATCTGCATAACTGATGATGAAACTAAGTACGGAATGTGAGTATCTTCACTGAAGTTGATTTCCTCAATGTCAAATATTCATAAATTATGATGAGGTAGTGATGATTCTTGAATATGTAGCGAGTGACTAGATAGGACAAGTTGTTACAACCTCTTAGTCTCTTCAATTTCGTTATCCTTCACTCCCTTCACTGTTATTACCTCTGTGTGACGCAGTGCTTGAATTATTTCCTTATTTGTGGTTGGTGGTGTTCATTTTTGCCGAACAGCTGATGTATTCATAGAAAGCAGTCTACCTTTCTTATATCATTCACAAGCAGGATGGCGAAGTATGCTGACACAGTCGTCTTTCGATATTCTGTCTCGAAAGCCTGCACATACATGAGTGTTCGGTGTTGTAATTCATGTAGCTCTTCTTTTTGTTGCTGGTGAATATTCGTGATTCCATCTTAAAAGATTCTGAAGATGTGGGTGGGATTATTTTGATGGTTTCTGGAGAAGACGTTGAGGGAATGGAATCCTTATTCTTATTTTTAGATTCCTTTGTCACAGCGGCTTACTTTGGATTATTCGGAAGCAACTGAAAGTGACAAACGAAATGTTTGTAATTGTTGCAAGTTACACAACACTGTGTAGATAAGAGATATGAAGTGTTTAGAGAAGTGTCTAAATCAAGTTGTTTTCATTCCTCGAAGGTTTTTGACCTATGAATAATTTCGTTCTTACTGTACACGTTGGAGAAACGTTCAGGGATACTCTGGAACGACTTCATTCCTGCCTTATCTGGTCCATCTCCATTATTTTTTTGTCGGGAATGATCAGCCATACTTGGTATTTGTTCTCATTTGCGGATGTCTCGATAGTGCGTCGGTGTACGTTAATACTGGCATAACTCCAAATAGCATACGGTATCCGTCCTACACGGTTTGACTATCCTGATTCGGTTGCCTAGTACATAAAGCATTAGGGTTAAAATCGATTGGTCTCGTTTTCGAGTCTTAGTGGGGACAACGTCACCCAGTTTTATGTAGGTACATCCAGTTCATGAACCCCGAATAAAGCGAAACGCACATTCTCGATTCTAGTTTTAGCCACTGTCCATCATTAATCGGATTCTATTTCACCAACCTCATATGGTAATTGAATTTGTGATCACTGTTTGCATTTTGACTACTTTTCGCATGGTCATGAAACAACACTGAGTAAAGCTTGAAAGTATAATTGTACAATGTCTCTCAATAGAACTTTCGAAATGTCTCTGTTTTCCCTTTTTAATTCATGGAAAAAGAAGCACCTGCAAAGAAATCACTCTCTGTAGTTATGATTTTAGGATGATATTTAAGCATACAGTATACTTACTACTGGATGAACCTTATCTAGCTGTTTCGCCAGTACACATGCTCGTCAACTCACCATCTGGGTCAAGTTACAGCCAGAAGATACTGAAAACCTCCGATTCAAATGGTGCCAATTAAAAGAATTCTAAGTACTGTTTAGTAATAATGATAGATAGTGGCTAGGAATGGAATCCAGGACGCAAACCTTATCCTATTTAAGACTCGTCAGCTGGATGTACATGTCTCCCAGTGAGTGATGTTGTTCCCACTAGGACTGTACCTGAAACTACGGGCAATATCGAGGGATCCGCGCAGGAGATCATATGCCAATACAGACTGATCAATTCG